TATATATATATATATATATATATTTTACTTTAGAGGTGGCAACATCATGAATTTTAATTAATACTAAAGAGAAAAAGTGTTGGATTATGATATTGAACTAGGTGGTTCTAAAAGGAGGCATATATAGGCTCACTTGTAAAGGGGATTCTGCCAAAATGGATTTGCTTTAACAAATTTAAATTTGCAACCCTTGAGATTCTTCAAAGGAAACCAGCTCAGCAACTATGGACCATATGCGCTGCTTTCCGTCTTTCATTCTTTTTTATTCCCTTTCCCTGTTGTTGTTCTAATGAATTTATAATCTGTTCCTTTTCAGTTGTGTGTTCCATTGACAAAGCAAAATTCTGTTAACATGGGCATATAGCTTTGACTTCAATTCTTTGATGTCTGTTTGTGTCGGTCGTAAGTGAATCAGGAAAAAATAAAATGGTATGTGGCACGTCAGAATCGTATGTAGTTTATTTTCTCATGCAAAGAAGTTGAAGAGTGAATTTGTATTTGATTGGCACTTCTAAATTGTCAAGCATGGTTTTTTTAAACGATTGTTTTTTTAATTTCTGTTTATGTGCTTTAGTTGAATGGCCCATGCAAGGAGTTCATGATTCAAGTGCAAAAATCAAGATTTACTAGTCTGTACTTAAATGATTTATATGTCACAATTGATGTCACGAGTGATTATATTCGTGTCCTAATGTGTCTTTCAACTTAGCATCATGAGTAGTACTGAGCATAACATGCTTATCTTCCTAGTCAAATTCAAAATATAACTAATCACTAATCAGTAATTATCCTATCTCGGATGCTTTTGCTTTATAGATACATTTTCATTGATTTTAACTTTGAATTCGTTTTTGCAACGCAGTATAAATATTTGTATGTTGCACTTGCATCATGCACAAATACAGCTACCCATTTCTTCTTTAGAGGTGATTGAAATTTTACGTCTAAACTTTCAAGCTAGTTCTTGCATGTTTATGGTCAGAATTCATGTAACCATTCCTGCATTTACCATCTAATGACTCAACTTTTTTTTTCTTTTATTAATTTTGTTAAATTTTTAATATAAAATAAAGGATAGAGATTTAGTTTGTTTCTTTCCAACTGCTAGATACCTAACTTATAAGAAGTCATTCATTTCAATTCTTTTTATTGTCCTTTTATGTTTAAAAAAAAAAAAAACTAAAGTGAATATCATTTTGCAAATTCAATAATTAATAAAAGGGTTTATAAAATTTAAGAAACTAAAATTGATGATCTACACAATCTCGAAACATAATATGGAGACTTACTCTAACCGTTCCCGGTTCTAAGATTGACTGAACCAACATAGTAACTGCTCAGGGATAAGTGAAGTCAACGTCTGACTTAGGTAATTCTGGCAGATATATAAAATAAGAAATTAACAAAGATGTCATAAGATGGATAATATTTTTAAAAAAAGAATATATCATTTATATTTGCTTTTATTGTGCTTGCATCCTCAACAAGCTCACTATGTTATGTTCCTAAAAGTTAAGGCAAACTACTGATTATAATATAAATCAATGAAAATTTTCTTCGGGAAGATCAAAAGATCATCGTTGTTGTCAATCTAAACTCTGGTTGCATGCACATGAAAGTTTTCTCCTTCCCTCCCCCTTCTGCCCTGTCAAACTGCAAGAATATGAGCACATTTTTTTTTTCTTATGTTGTAGTGATACTTTAGTTTATGCTATATTTAATATCTTTTTATGATTTCCAGTATTACTACAAAATTGATTATGTTTTATTCAAAATTTCCTAATGACTGTTTCTGGAAAAGTCAGGTAGTCATGAAAATCTCCTATGTACAGTCCAATAAAATTTAAAAATTACAAAAATTTAGTATAAACAATCTACACTTACAATTAAAAAAAATAATAAGTATCAGCTTTTATATATAGTCTGTGAAATAGTACATATGCTGCGAGTAGAAGTGAAAACTTGTAAAAAACTAACAACCAAATTTCATTCTATGTTGATTTGTTTAACGCCATAACAGTAGACAATTCTGTGGAAAGAGGAACTATATGCCAATTGCTTGGTGCTAATTTGAAAATTAGTTAGTATTAGTTACTTGGGCACAAACCTTGCCAAAATTAAAAATGTTTTGTGAAAACAATGTTTTGAGATTTTTTACTTTTGATGGATTTGACATAGCAAATAAAAAAAAGTAGAGAAAGACTGGGAAGCATATAGTTTGATCAACTTTCTTGTCCTTGATTATCAACTATGTACCTCCCCTTGAAGTTTCAAGATGCTGCTACAATTTTAAGTAGAAAAAGGGAAAAGGGGTATCTCAAGGTGCTCTCCAACATGTGATCTGAGTCGGATATTAAGTCTTTCTAGTACAGAAAATCTGAAGATGAGATTTGAGAATGAAATGGCTTTTCTTCTCCTTTGCTTTCATTTTAGTATTAATCTGCACTTTTCTGGTTAGGTATAGAAGAAAGCTTAAGGCTGCCAAATAAGTTGTTTCTGTTTATATGCTTCAAAACTTTAGGTCATGTACCTATATTATAAGCCAATAAGTTTCTGTTTATATTCTTCAAAACTTCAGGTCATAGACCATTTTTATGAGCCAATTAAAGAACAGTGACATATCCACTTTTGAGATAAAAAACAAATATCCACTTTATTCTATTGAAACCAGAGGTTCAAAAGAGAAAATTGCCAACGTTCTTGAAGCTCAATTATAGTGATCATCTGTATTGTATGGGCACAATATAATTGGTTCCAACTTTATGGCAATATTGCTGGCTAAGAGAAATGTCACAGGACTGTTGGTTACCATTGTCCAATTATAGTTTATTATTACATAAAAGCAAAGTTCATATATGATACATACAACCTGAAAAGGAAGGTGGCGTGGTTGTAAAATGCTTTTTCTTTACTCTTGGCTTTTGAAGTTCCTAATTTTCAGTGCCCCTTCTACAAATTTACAATGATGATCACACTTCTAATGGGGGAACCTGAGAAGGCCCTTTTCTTTTCTACTTTTGTCTTCTTTTTATGTGGTGCAGTTACTATAAACAGATGAAGCTAGCATATAAGTTTGATTTTTAGGCAAATGATTATAGATAGCATGGTCTTTGCTGAAAAACTAAAATTTGTTTTGGAATAAATAAAACTACGTCTCAGTATTATGATTATTTTTCCTATCCACGTAGTATTATTTGCTTAGATGTAATGTACTTAAAGTTAAAAGCTAAAAAGTCAGTTACAGCATCAAGAATTCCATCACTCGTGCATTTCTTGGCCGTCCAAACTTTGGAATAATATGATTTTTGGTTGGTCTACGTGGGCATTTTCCTTGGTATTAATTGCTCAATTAATTTCCTTCTCATGCTTGAAAGTGTTTGGATAACAATTTAAGTACTTATTGAATTTCACTAGTGTTTTATATTATAAGTTTGATCATGAAATTTGTTGGTTAAGCTAAAAAGAGTTTATTTTAATAAATCATATGAAAAATTAATAATAAGCTAAAAGAAACTTACGAGGATCTTAACTTATTTTTGTAAATTCGTGGTATGCACTCACAAATGCATTTTAAGTCTCAAAACAACTATGCTAATACATCTTCAGCTCATTGACACGTCAAAATAAGACAATACACAGCAAACTCAATTTACACATCCTTTTTACTATCTTTACAAAATTTTCCTTGTTAATGAATTTCTGAACGAGGGTCAAGTTAAACTTAGAGATGTATGCCTTGCAAGTAACTGAATATGATGATTCCTCAGTGTGAAGTGCGTATGATGAGGGAACTATATTTATTTTTTATTTTTGGCTTATTGCATGTCATGTCAAATAGAAGACAAACAGAACCAAAGTATTTGCTTTTGGTAGAAGGAATAAAAGGATAACGATTTATATTCGCAGCGTATGAATGGAATTTGAAGTTGCGATTTCAGTGAACTGTCAAGAACCATTAGCGGATAACTTGATTGCATGTAGCGTTGGTGGTTTGGTTGCATCGTTTTTTAGACTAATAATTTCATCCAATTATAAAAACAAATATAATTTAATTGGGTTAATTTAATCTAATTTTAATTAAGAATAATTTAGACTGAATTAGATGGTTTAACTTTTTTTTTTCTTGTTTGTTGTATATTTATTTTACGAATGTCATTGAAAATATTATTTTAACATGTAAACACACTCTTTAAACTGTAAAATTTTATCTTTGTATTTTCCCTTATTTAATTGTTTTCCATATTTTCTTCAAAGAATTAGTTACTTTAGTTGTTAGTTTGTTCTTATACTATTTAAATATATGAAAATAATTAATTATAAGGAGTTGAGTTAGCTTATTTTAGATGATGGTGAGATTTTGATCTCTTATTACCTAATGAAAGATTTTAAGCATCCTTAATAGGATGCAAAGGCATTAATTTTTATGATCACTTTCATAACCACGAAGAATGATTACTTTATTTAATAAAAATGAAAAGTATAATATTATAAAAGTTTAAATATACTTTTATTCTTATATTTTTATGTTTTTTTTAATTTTAGTTTTACTCTATATTTGATAATAATTTTTTGTAAAATGGACTTATACTTTATTTTTAGTTGGACAATTTTTTATATATATTTTGATTTCTATGCTTAACAATATATATATATATATATTTTTTTCACACTATTATAATATCAATAACCTTATGGACTAATTTGTAATTTTTTAATATACAAACAATGACATAAATTTTTTCATTTAAAGATAATATAAAAAAATAGTGTTAAATGAAATAATAAAAAAATTAATCTAACAATTACACTTTTTACGAGTTGAATTTAGATTTGTTGAAGTTATAACTCGTGTCTCTTGCTAACAGATTTACAGGGTTTATGATAGTATTAATTGAATTAAGTAATATCAAGCAATATATTAAAATTTAATTAAACCGACAGAAATTGTTGAGTGAAAAATTAAAAACACGGACAGTAACAAAGGAAAAAATAGCGTCGAAAATAGTAGCAGTTGACAGTTGCAAGAACGGAAAGTTTGAAACTGTGTCTGTCCTTTTACCCGGCAAATTCCTTCTGAATTCAAACAAGAAAGGCAACAAAGAGAAAATTTTGCAAAAACACACACAACAACACACTTGAACTTGAACTCCATGCGTGCAAACACAGCACTTGTTTTCTATTGTTTTCTCTCTCTAAATCGCTTTTGATTCTCTCTGAACAATCCACCCTTACTTAATATTCTCCTCTTCAGCAGATTCCCTCCTCGCCCACCCCACAACCCCTTCTTTCTCCCTTTCTCTTCATTGCTTTCCAAGCCAAGAATCTCTCTGATTCCCCCCTCTCTCTCTCTTTCAACCGCTATTAACCCCATCCCCAATGCTCCCTTCTCTGTCATTTTCATTCTTCTTCTCTCTCTCTCTCTCTCTCTCTCTCTTAACATATGGCTCCTTCTTCAGATATCAATCATCTTTCTCATCCCTGTATATATGGTATTATTACTATTTTCTCTTCCAAAATTTGACCTACATGCCTATTCTAAGCAATTCCCTTTATAGATTTTTACTCCAGGTTCTGGAAGAAAATTTTGATTTTAACGACCCCATGAAGCTGTTATTTGAACTTTTTAATTTTTTTTGTTGATTTTATTAAATGGGTATTCTCAAAGTTTCTAAATTTACTTCTAGATCACGTTGTTTCTGGTTTGGTACCAGAACTTGAGAGCTCTGGGGGTTATAATTTAACTTATTGCATCATGAAACTTTATGGTGGCTAGCAGGGGATTATGTTTCTTCACGGTCAGAGAGAAAGTCTGGTTTTATGAAATGGCTTAGTAAGCTTTTCAGAGGTGGGTCCACTAGAGGAAGGGGTGGTCGTCATCTGCATGAGCCAGCAGAGGAAAGCATGGTTTGGGGTGCTCCATCTAAAGCGTTGGTAAAGTTCAACACTGGCTTTTAGTGTTCTTCAATGACGTCTATTTTTGGCCTTGTTATATTATATATCATTATTGCCTTGCTTAAATTATAATTTATAAACAAATTTTCTAATGCATTAAATTGCATTGAATGCTATAATTTCAATAACTAAAATTTTATATATATGTTCTTATGACGTGTAATTTTTTTCAAGTAAAAAAAATGGAATTATAAAATGCAAATAGTTAGTGAGGGCAGTATATTTCTTCTGGACCGAACACATGCTCCTATGTGTCATCAACCATAACTTAGTCATAAGCATTTGAAAGTTTACTACTTTTTTCTTGTTTTGATTAGATGGCCCCTTGATCTCATCAAGTGAAGTGAAACTCTGTATTTGGACTACATCTCAAACCACTTTTTGAATTTTACATATTTTCTTGTTTTTTCTTAATATTTGGTTCCACAATCGTAAGTTCGCATCTTAATTTCACATTTTGCATTCCTTTGGTATTTAGTGACTTCTCTTTCTGCTAATTTGAATACATAAGTATTCTGTAAGTTTTGTTTATCCAAGTTCTTATTGGTTATTGCAATGAGGTTGCAAGTTTAACAACAGAAGATTTTCACTAATTTCATGATTTTAATTAAATAATGATTTGAAATACCTAGAGAAGGGAAATCAAATACATAAATCTTGGACAGGCAAATTTTAATATGATCGTACTTTATTGCTCATGTCATAGAACCTCGTATCTTGGTTGTGCACCAGCAAATTACACCATAAGAATTGTGCTGCAGTATACTTTAATAAGTCAAACAGCAGCTTTTTGACTAATTTTCTGAAGCATACACTACATCATTATGCTTCTGTAGCTTGTAAAAGCAGAAAATTTTTATTTACATCCAATGTTTTATACAATCTTTTTCCCATAAATTCTTCTGAACTAAGATGGCTAGGAAATAAAATTGTAACTGCATATTCAACAGTTATTTTGGATTTATTTACTTTCACAACGTAAGTATAATTGAGGATAAGATTATTGATAATACTTCTGATGTAATTAGGATGATCGCGCTAGAGCTCAGAAGGAGAAAGAGGACCTAGGCCAGGCAATGGCACTTTCTTCAGCCGAAGATTTAAAGAGACCAAATGGTAGATACTTAATTTTCAAAGGATGCTTGTTCTTTAGCAATTGTGATCTTCCTGATCAATGATTAAACTTCTATTCCATTAGCCCATCGAGGATATAGTTGGGGGGAAGACATTGGTGATGATTACTCAAAGGCACTTGAAGATACCCTGAACTCATCTGCACACCCTCCATATGCCCCTGCACCATTTTATCCCAGAGAATATAGGTAAAGTCTTGCTCCTAATGATAAACATCACGTGTTTCCAATATGGTCAAAAGCAAGGTTGTTGAGGCATGTTATTTTGGCCAGTGCTAGTGGAAATTGGTTTTTTGACATTATGTATGGATGGATGTCTCTCTACATTATGTAAATAATTACTGTTTTATTGTTATTGACTAAATACTTTCAATGTTTACCATTTACCGACAATTCTATGAAGATAAAGTCTTGACATCAAAATATGAATAAATGATGGTCCTTTTGCTGCATCATTTCTTATTTGTTTCAATGGATCAAGTTGCAAAGGGAATCAGAATCTGTTCCTTCAAAACAATTTAACAAGTGAAAAAGAAACATGCAGCATGTGCAGATATGTAGGTTGAGGGGGTAGAGTTCTATGTAAATATCTAAGCAAAAGGAAAAGGTAGGGTATTTTGGTACCATTCACAGCTGATAAATGTGTGGTTTGCCATTGAACAGAAGAATATGTGGTGGCTGCAACCAAGAGATAATCTATGGAAACTGTTTGGGATGCATGGATACTTATTTTCATCCAAACTGCTTTCGCTGCCACTCTTGTGGTTACCCTATCACAGAGCGTGAGGTAGTTTGATCCTCTTTGAAACTTTCAGGGAATGTTGAAATTATTTGTCTGTCTTACACATTTTTCTTTTATATCCATCTCTTACTGTTTTCTTTTCTCTGTTGATCCAAGTTTTCCTTGTCAGGGAAGCATCCATATCACAAGTCCTGTTTTAAAGAGTTGACCCACCCAAAATGCGAAGTTTGCTTCCAATTTGTAAGATTAGTCTGCTTTTGCTTATTCTATTCAAACTATCCTTCTCATTATATTTTTTCCCTCTGTATAAACCTATTTCCAGAATTTCAGTTCATTTCATACGGTTTTAAAATAGGACCATGGCATTAGTTATTTTATGATGGAGGAACCAAATGTTATTCTAGTCTTCTTATATAATAGGACATTTGAAACAAATTGTAAGAGTATAGGTGCTATCAAAACTAACCTAGTAAAAAAGATCATCTCCGGTATATCAATTAGCTTATCATCTTCACAGTTAATAAGGAACTATTTTAACACACAGATTTTACTTTAATTTCAGATTCCTATAAATGCTGCTGGTTTGATTGAGTATAGGTGCCACCCCTTTTGGTCCCAAAAATATTGTCCATCTCATGAATATGATAACACAGCTCGTTGTTGTAGTTGTGAAAGATTAGAGGTACTAATTTAAGCACTCCAAACTATTTAATCTTTATTTTAGAACAGGTAAAGAATACCTTCTTTCTTACTTTTTTTTTTTTTTCTAAATCTTGTTTTTGGTTACTGTTATATTTCCCTTGAAGCCTCGGAACATAAAATACTATAGACTAGAAGATGGAAGGAGTTTGTGCTTAGAGTGCATGGAATCTGCTATAATGGATACTGGTGACTGCCAGCCACTGTACCATTCTATAAGAGATTATTATGAAGGAATGCAGATGAGAATAGATCAACAAATTCCCATGCTTCTTGTTGAGAGAGAAGCGCTCAATGAAGCTATTGTTGGAGAAAAGAATGTAATGAAAATTTCATTCTTTGTTTTAGTTAAATAATTAGTCCGTTTCTTCTTACACTCTATGGTTCCTGCCAGGGTTTCCATCACTTACCAGAAACAAGGGGCTTATGCCTTTCAGAGGAGCAAACTGTCACCAGTGTATGATATTAAAACTATTTACTTTTTTGTTTTCTTTGATTAGCATGTGGAAGCTCTCATGAGCAAAGTTACAAATTGTTTGTCAGATAAGTCCACTACTTTCTGATTAGATGTTGTTTCAGATACATAGAAGGCCAAGAATTGGAGGCCATCGACTAATAGGAATGAGAACTCAACCTCAAAAGCTGTCTAGAAAATGTGAAGTTACAGCAATTCTTGTTCTATATGGTCTTCCGAGGTAAACTAGTGGAGAATGGAAACCTTGCTGTTCTCCCCTTTCTCATTACAGCTGATTGATTCCCTTCTGAATATAGGAAAATGTATTTTTTACAACAGAAGACAAAAGTGAGACAACTTTTATTTTTCTCTTTGATTTTGGGAGAGTAATTTTGAACTATGTATATACGAAAAAGATAAAAAAAAAAGGAAGTGAAAGATATACATAATTGTATGCTATACCAAATATGGTGTTGGTTATATGATATTCAAATAATGGAAGTGATGAATATAATTTTGAGTTTAAATATTTTTCCTTGGACCCTAAACCCTAAAACAATGGCAGATGTTACATTCTTGCTATTGATTATGTGTAAATTTCATGATAGGAGTTCTCAAGTTTTTATGGGATGCAGGTTGCTCACAGGTGCTATACTTGCCCATGAATTGATGCATGCCTGGTTACGCCTTAAAGGTAGTAGTATATTTTTGGAGTAAACTAAGCACCCAATTTCTTTATGAAAAATTATTTGGCCTAATTTAGTTCTTGAAAGAAAACAAGTCACTAAATATTCCCTTAAGATTAAATATGTGGGACAATATAGTCCTTCCATTCAATAGAAGGAAGTACTGGAGTGTCCCATATTCATAATTTTAGGGATTAAATATATTTTTTAAGAAATCAAAGGGTCTCTAGTAAATTTCTTAATTTATTCCATATTTTTATTCTTATTTTACTCAGCTTTTCATGACTTTCATCTCATTCATGTTGAACCAAGCAGGTTACCGAAACCTTAATCCTGAAGTAGAGGAAGGCATCTGTCAGGTTCTTTCATATATGTGGCTGGAGTCAGAAGTAATGCCAAGCTTTCAAAGCATGCCATCCACATCCACAGCTGCTGCTTCTTCCTTTTCCTCAAAGAAAGGTGCAAAATCTCCCGTTGAAAATAAATTGGGTGAATTTTTCAAGAATCAGATTGCCAATGATTCTTCCCCAGCTTATGGTGGTGGCTTTAGAGCTGCTAATGAAGCTGTTAATAGATATGGTTTACGTAGTACCCTTGAGCACATTCGTTTGACTGGATTTTTCCCACTGTAATAAGAACGCAAGTTCTATAAAAATGGATAAAGTGCTTGGATCGGTTCAAAGTAAAGTCAGAAACTTGGACAACTTCAACTATTTGGGTCCTGTGAGGATGTCCAAGTCTAATGTTACTAAAAAAATGCATGACTAGTTCGTATTCAACTAATGTTATTTTCCTTGACCCAAAAATTTGAACTGTTATTTCCTGATTCATTTGGTTAATATTTTATTTTAGTCGATGAAGTTAAGAATGGTGAGCAACGCTGCTTTTACAAATATTCTAAAGAACAGCATCACTCCGTCACTAACCAAAATTTCAAATTAATAGCAAATGAGTTTCTTCAATAATTCCAACAGAAGTGGCTTTTCATATCAACATAACTATATGAAGAAATATTTACAGAAAACAACTATATATATATATATATATATATATATATATATATATATATAATAATAATAATACTCAAAATATGACCCTATAACAATTCCAGAGTCGTTGATGATAAATCTGTTGTATGCTTCGCGGAAAAAGTTATAATACAATGGCCTCCATTTCATCATCTTAAATTTTAAAAAAGCTCCAAAGTGTTAATGTAATCACCGTTACTATTGGAAGAATAGGTCACTTAAAGATAATAATACCATTGCAAAACGTTACAGCATGACACACTGCAACTTACAGATAACACGAGACGTTGTACCTAATTTTTTTTGCCTTCTCTTAAAAAGAGAAGACCAAAGATGATTTTAGAAAAACCCTACAACAGGGTGTTTTCTAATGATAAAGGAAACTTCTATACAAGCTAATCAAAAGCAGTTTCTTCTTGAACACGCATTCTCGCCACCCTTTCTCACTACAATTTAAAAGTATTTTTTCACAAAAAAAAAAAGTCATCAAAATTACGAAATAAATATAACTTTAATTTTGAAAGTATTACTTTTAATGTATACGATAAAAATAATTCAGGCCAACAACAACCAGTTGCAAATCAATAGCTCACTTCACTTCCCTAATTTCTTAGAGAGAGAGAGAGAGAGAGCACATGAGAATACAAGATCGATAATAGCCTAATATTAAATGTCATGCAAGTCTCTGTACATGCAAAAATGCAATCCCCACGGCAACATTACAAAATTGCCTACCGTGAGAACAAATTGAACTTCAATTGGTAAATCGAAACTATAACTCTAACCCTTTTGCATGGGTAAATAAATAACTTCATATCCATCTACTTCTTGTATTTCAGACTCCAAAGTTGATGGGTGTAATTATGCGGTAGCAATATCTGCTAAAAGCATCTTCAACGTCTCATAAGTCATAAAACAAATACCAACACCTGGCACCACCTTGTAATATTCAGGCAAAATTCCTCTGTATAGGCCACGTACACCTTCTGTCCGGATTATGTGCCCAAACATACCATAGAGGCCTGTAGTATAAACACGGGCTCGCCCACCAGCGCCCTCAAGTTGCTTCCGCCGCCTCACAAGATCCAAGGGAAACGTTGCTGCATATAGAATAACAGATAAGTGAAATACATCAGATCGTTAATCTGTTACATAGCAATGCATCAATAAAGGTGGTAAAGCAACAAATCAACTGAAGTGCATACCAATTCAAAAATAAGAAATGAAATCAAAATCAATTATATTTAAAAGAAATAAGCAATGTAGACAAAACAGAAGTATCTTATTGTAGTGATCCTGTGTCACGACAAAGTTGCAAGTTGCAACATTAGAAGCTATTCTTAAGAATAACAGCAGAAAACATATTATTGAAACCATGCGGCTCTCCTGAATTTGTTGTCAATGGACAGCAAGATATTTAAGGATGAGCAAGTCTATATTAACATGGCAGCTGCAGCATTTAACGAATCCAAAACATGTAAAAAAGCAGTCACGTGGAATTGACATTAAGAGGAAAGAGGCCAAGTAAAATACAGCCAGCCTTACCTGTACATACAATTGTTGTAGCAGAGAAGCAGAGAACAATTATTGACAAAAGTGCACTACTATAGTTTTGTATGAATGAATATTATGGATGCATGTAGTTAGTGTCTATATAATACAGTTTTGGCACATAAAGTATCCATCCCACAATCAGTAAGATATAGTTTTTCTATATGTAAAGACTAGTAGCTCTTTGTTAACAATTTCATTTATCCACTTACCTTTATCATAAGCAATTATATTATATTATAATTTGTTACCATAATTTCCATTATCTAATGCATGTTTGGTTCAACTTATTTTGGAGAATAATTGCTTGCTTTTGCTAGCTTTATGAAAGCTTTTTGAAAAGAATAAAAATTCTTCATATTAAAGTTGAACCGAACATGCTCTTAGATTATGCTACAAGCAATACTATTAAAACAGTAAGAACAGATTCCTCAGAAACACATCAACAAGGCATGAAGGATTCTGGTACCCATCCAAACATCAGGTGAACTGGTGACGGTAGCCTAAGTGAGACGCATACCTCAAAGAGGACAGCTCTCACATTTGGTAACTGAGGGAATGATATAGGTTCATCGAAGTAATGCCACCCCATGATGGAATCCACTGCATAACTTGGGGAGACATGCCATAGAATAAGACTAGGGAAAATGATTATTTGATCAAGATCTTTAGACAAAAATAAAGTTACAGAAAGACAAGAAAAGGGTCTTTTTGTTGTCTTCCTTACTAAATTCTCATATGCCAGATAAAATAACACCTCCAACCTGGTCTCTGGTTCTAGGGGTCAGTCTGGTTAGAAACTTGGTGCAGTTCTTGCACCAAACTCTCTTTCTCTGCATCAAAAGCATAGTAAACCACTACAGACATTAACTTCTTTGATATTCTTGATTTGAGCAAATTCAAAAGTTTGACAAAAGGATTGTTAACTACAATTGAATATCTAGTAAACATTTGATACAACAACACTAGGTCGAGTGTTCTGCTGCCACACCTATAGACATAGGAAAAAGATAAAATACCAAAAGAATGGGCATAACCCCAATCAAAGACATCAAAAAAGCAAATTATCAATACTACTTATTGACAATGAACATCAAAAGTTCTAGTTATCCATTTTATTCATACGAGAAGGAATGCCCAAAGTGCAAGTTATAATTTTGCCTTTTGACTACTCACCTGTTGATGATGCAATGCCTGAAAGACTGCCGCAGGCCAGACTAACAACGACAGTTGAATCATCGGATCTGATGTACACATACAACTAATATTATTATACTAGTATAATACTGACTACGATATACATGAAATAGAGAGAAAATTAAGGGTTACATCGAACTGCTGTATTAATTTGTGAACTAATTACCTATTTGTCTGCCAAAAAGATCTCAGGGTTTCATACACAGAGAAGCTGATAGCTATACTGGGCCCTACAGTCTGCATTAGCACCAGAGATTAGCTAATTCCACACGAAAGAATATAGTCTTCGAGTAATTTTATATTGACAATCTCGGCATACCAAAAGTGTAGTTCCAAGTCCCTTATACAGGCCAAATATTCCCTCTTCCTTGCTAATCGTGTGTAAAGCATGCCAGATACCTCTATAGTAGGTAAAATTTGTCTGCAAAATGTTAACAATGCTAGTTGTTAAGAATTATAATACAAATGCAAGGATCTTTAACCACCAGTTGTGCATGAACAATTCATTAAATTTAAGCAGATATATCTAAAGGATGATCTGATTTCAAAATAAGACAATTTCAAGGTCAGGGTCATGCAAGGTTCCAAGCATCAAGAGACTAAGACCACATAGAGTCATGGACCACACTTATAGCACAGCAGACAGGGAGGGGAAGTGAAATGCATGGGACCAGAGGCAAGAAAGGGCCACATAAAGCGAAAATCTAACACATTATATCTCACCTGTGCAGCAAGCCGTGTTCTTACAAGATCCAAGGGATAAGTAGATGTAGCAGCAGTTATTCCCGCCATGCCACCACCAACAAAATGTACGCAAAGGTCTGCACTGACATTATCCCCCCTATGACTTTGCAGTCCAGGAACCATCTTTAGCAACTGCACATATAAAACACTATTAAACACAAACCAATCAAAGAACAAGAGAGTATTCACAATAATAATTGCAAATTTCTCTGCAACACAATCAAACGACAGCAACTAGCTGCATCACAGCACCAATAACCTTACCTTCTTGTAGTGCTCATATGAATAAAAGTTAACAGAGGAATAAGGCAAGCGGTGAGCAATGGTGACCAAATTCCCTTTCCAGAAAGCTCTAAATCCCTCTTCATGAATAATTCGTGAAGCCTCATTCCATATACTGGCTTTTCTCAAAGTTGCAACATTGGAATGCATTCCCTGAACCTGAAAACATTTCCAAAATTCCACAATAGTAAGGTTTAACAGAATCATAACCTTTATAACCAAAATCATATCCCAGTCCTTTCATGATAACATAATAAACATCACAATTTAGCCAGTTAACAGTCACAAGAAGAAACCCAACAACAAAAACATTTTTTTATATATATAAAATTGACAAAATTAAAAATAATGAAAAATAGGAACCTGAAAGAGTATGGTGAGTCTCGCAAGCGGCGCCGTACAGGTTTTGCTTAAAGCGCCAGCAACTCCTCCAGCGAGAAGCTGCGAAATAGTGCCAATCTGCTGCGGCGGCGGCTGCACCAGTTTCCGTACACCACCATCCACGGCCACACCAACCCTAGCCTCCGTTTGCATCTTCAAACTTCCGATTTTCTTCTCTCTTCTCTTTCACCACTTTCTCTAACGAATTGAACCCCAACAAACTTTCACTATCAGAAGAAGAAAGATTCGCAACAAAGAATCGCGCATTTCTTCACCACCATTCTCTCTCTCTCTCTCTCTCTCTCTCTCTTCTCTTTTCACTTCGTTTTCGCTCTTTGCAATTTCAAACAAGCAAGTGTTCTTCACTTTTTTTTCTCAGGTCCAAGGTCGGCGACGTCGTTTTTGGGATCCGGCTCGAACGAAACGGTGACGTATTAAGAGGGTGGGTTCACGAGGAAAGTTAAAGCAACGCAGTATTTATGTGGTGTGGTGGGTTGCAGGGGCCTTTCGTGTTCCGCGTCGGTGATTTTAAGAGGAACGACGATGTGTGCAAGTGGTTTTGGGTTAAAGGTGTGTTACTGTCGAAGCGGGTGCAGAGGATTGGTTCTGTTGGCGAATATGAGGTTCTTTTCTGGGGAATATGCGTTGCCTGTGAATTAAGTTGAGATGGCGCATTAGACAGCTGTAGATATCATAGTTAGGGCTACGTCGGTTAAGCTAATTCTCCTATCAAATGCAGACACGTGTTATGGATTTTTGTAAAACATTCTTTAATTACTGTGTTTTTACTAGAAGAAACATGCACCTATTTCCCTGTGACCTTGCATTTGTAACCAAATAAGAAAAGCCACTTCTAAATTAGGATTTCTTATCGTGAGTTTATTGATGTGATAACAAGTTAAAGATTATTTTAAAAAATCATTTATTATGTTTCAAATATAAAAAGTATTCAATGTTATTTTAAATCATTTACTAAATTTAAAAATACACTAATACTGTCATGTGTTCATCAATACATAATAAATTAACTCTTTACATGACATTTACGTACCCTTTAAAGGATTTTATTAACTAGCAAAACTTATGTTAGATTACAATAAAAATTTAAAAAATAAACAAAATAATAAAATATTATTTTTAATCAGTAAAATGTTTATATTTTTTAGTATGAACATTTTTTTTCCTTTTCATCTGATTTTTTGGAAACGTGCCATTGAATTGTGATCTCGCGCTTAATTCAGACGTATCTACTACGCGTAAAATGCTAAACACGTGAAAGCTGAAAAACACATGGGTTGATTTTTAAGGAAAAAAATGATTTGTGATAATAATAAAAAAATGTTAATCTTAAATCCTTAATCTTTTGAATCGAATTTAAGTATTGAATAATAAATAAATTTGTTAAAATAATACTTATTACATTTTTATAATTTTAATATAATAATTATATTTTTTAATTTATTATTTTTTCATTTTTAAAGTCAATCTTATAATTAAATTTAACAAAGTTCTAATAATAATAATAGTAATAATAATAACAATATACAAACAGATTAAATTTTTTTAAAATTAGTATTTGACGATCGAACTTAAGCTTTTATTAAGTATAAAAGAAAACTATTAAGAATATTAGTTAAGAAATAAAATATTTTTTCTAAAAAACTACAACAATGAATTAATATATTTATTTATATAAATCTTAATAAAAATTATAATTTTTTAATGAGTACATAACAAAACTTAATTATAACAAAAGTTGTACTATATTCTTATATATATATATATATTAACACACTTTTTATTGTTTATTCGAATTTATTAAAATATATAATGATAGAGTGTGAATTTAAAAGAAGGTGTTATTATTTTTAAAAAATTAATCTTATAAAAAAGAAGGTAAATGTCCCTGTTGATGATTCCTTGATCGAGACATTAACTCATTCTGCGTGATGATATGCTTTTAAGCACTAATTAATGCAGTCAGTGGGAAAAACCATAGGATTTGTGGCTCTTTAATATTTAATATTCCCTCTCTCTTGTTGTCTTTGCAATTGCACCCATTGATACCGTATTTCGTTCAGTACCAAGCAGCTTTTCCTTAAAATATTTTATTCTTTTTAACATAATCTTTATTATTAACTATAATTTATTAAAAATAAATAATATAAAAAAATTAATTTAAAATTAAAAAGAGTGAGAACAACATTTGTTGTTATATATTAGAGTAGGTTTTTTCCCAAAAGCCTTTATAATCAAGAAAATGGGTGTACAGTAGGCTTGCTCACCTTGTGGTTCACTTCTAATGGTTGAGAATGCTTTTCCCCAACATGTGCATCTCTTCCATAATGGCCTTCTAGATTCTCACTCTAGCATTGATCAATCAATGACTGTCCACCATTACTAAGGGTTTGTTTTTTCTGCGTTGTGTTGGGACATTATAAAACTAAACCATGAAAGGCCTCGCTTGACCACAAAAAGAAAAATGAAGAATGTCAAATTATAATTGTTCATTCAAAATTAATAATTTAATATAAATATAATTAACAAATTATAAAATTATTAAAATATGTTCTAAATTCATTAATTAATAATTATAATTTTATATTTTACTATTAAAAAACATATCTCTTATTTTAAAGAAATCAAATTATAATTAGTTCATAGTTTTGTAACATTTTTATTGAGCTCACAACATTTGAAGTATTGTCCACTTTAACACTTGTAAGCTTTATGGTTTCATCTTTAAAATGCGTTTGGATAAGTTGAAGGAAACGTGTATTTGTAAACTACCTTTAGTCTTAACTTTTATTTAATGTGAGATTTTGAAGAACACTACACTTTCTATGTCAAAAAAGGCTCTATAAAGAGAAATTAACTAACAACTATTCTTTGTCTTCTTACCGTATTCCCTCCATGATTAAAGAAATAAATTAGTGTAATTGAAGCACTAATTTATAATTTAGACGCTCGTCATGTATTTTAGATACAATTATACATAAACGCTAAGCAATCAAAATAAACAATACTAAGTCTCATTTTATCAATTATAACAGAAGGGGTTTTGTTAACAAATATTCTCTAGACTATAGGTATCGATACTAAGAAATTAATAAATAAAGAACATTATTAAAGTTATGGTAAAAATATGCTAATAATATCTGTTATTTTTTTAATTATTTAACCAATATATTAAATACAGTATTTATCATAGCATAATGGTATTATATATTAGAATACACACTTAAACTTTACAATGAATGAAAATTGTACCGGAAGAAATTGAAAAAGTTTAAATTACTGTTTGGATAAACTTTTTAAAAAGTTTTTAAAAAATTAGTTTTAAAAAATAATAACTTTTCTGAGAAGCTTTTTTATTTAGCTTTTCTAAAATGTGAAAAAATAAATTATTTTTAACTTATATAAAAAATTGTTTATTATTTATATTAATATCTTTATAATAATTTCTCTAAAAATTCACCTAAATATGGCCGGATTAACGTACTAAAGTTACAATATTTAAAACTAAACATTATTTAGACAACTACATGCTTATTTGATTCATAGTATGTTTGATTTAGCATTCAAATGGGTATAAACTCATACTTACTTTAACATTGTAACTTTTATATTGAATTTATGTTTACACGTTTTATGACGTTTTCCAAACACACTTGATAACGAAACTCAAATTACACGATTTTGAACGCAAGTTATGTGTGAAGGAAAAATTTTCTCCTTTGACTGAACCTCCTTCCAAACAGGCCATAGCCCACAAGATCCTGACTCCCTCCTAGAGATGTTTAAAAAATTTAATTTTATAAACTCAATCTATAATTAATATTAAATTAGTTTTAAAAATCTAGATCTATAAATTAATTTTTTTATTAATGATATTTGTGTAACTAGTTTAGTGACTAAATCTATTTTTTAAAATCTATTTTTTTTAATTATCTAAATCTATATGTATAAATAAATTTTATCTTTATTTATTAAATTTCAACATTATATTAATTTACAAAATTTTATTGTAACTATATTTTACCACTAATATTTTTTATTAATATTAATTCTTATAATTAAAATTAAATATTTAAAATAATTAAAGATATTAAAATATAATAAATATTTTTAAATTAATTACCATTGTTATTTCTATATTTATTTTTTTTAATTTTTAAAATATTATAACAAAAAAATTATTATTAGTTATATTATTAATTTTTACTTTTATATATTTTAATTTAAATTTTTATTATAAATTCTGTTTATTAAAAATAAGTTAAAAATAATAATAAATATTTTATATACTTCTATAAAATATAATATATTAATAAATATTATTAAAATTTTTATGAAATGCATTAATTTAATGCAATATTTTGTATAATAAATTAGTTTTACCTTAAAAATATAATTCACAAATATATTAAAAATCAATTTTGTATTAAAAATTAAATTTTAAACTAATTCAACATAAAACTAAATTTAAAACTATTTTAAAAAAAATATCAATTTTAAAATCAATTTTAACCTAAATTTAAATTTTAAAACTATTTTTGAACCAATTAAAAAAATAAAATAAAATAATTTAAAATTTAACTTATATAATTAATTTGTATTAGGGATAAATGATAAAAAATAGAATATATCTAAATATTTATTACTTTAATAAAATATAAAAATAAAAAATATTATTAATAAATTAAAATATATGTAAATATTCTTTGCATATGTATTGTTAATGTAGTAGATTAGAGTATTCCTTGTATTCATATTTTATCTTATTTATTGATACTTAACAAATAAATAAATAAATAAATATAATGTTATATTATTTATTATAAAATTTAAATATTTTTTAATATAATAATTAAAAAAAAGTTATAGTATATTTTTACTATATAAAAATAGTTTAAAATTAGTTTTAAATTAAATCTAAAATTTAAAATCAAATTTAAACCGATTTTAAAAAAAATAAAATGGATTGATTTATAATCTAATCTATATAATTAGATTTTAAATAGATGCAGATTGAATTTTTTTTAAAAATTCAATCCATGAACACCGCTATTAACTTCAATTAACAAACATTTCAAGAATTAGTTAATGTTAGAAGGACATATATTGTTAACACATCACATTCGTTTTCAATTGAGATTGTTGAAGACTAGAGATCTGCCTCCGCCATGTTACAGAAAAAATAAAAATAAATCTGGTAAAAGGTAGCAATTAACTAACAACTATCTCTCATTCATGTGTAGTCAAGTATGAAAATTTCCTGAGAAACCATGTTTTTTCCTCTCCTTTTCTACATAGTTACCCTGTTAGTTTGAGCAACAAGTTCTATTGTCCGCATTACCTGACATATTTGAGACATTTATTGTGGTTCCTTGAGGAAGGCCAGTAGTGGAAGTAGCTTCTTGTGCTGCCAATGCCTTTTTACTTATAATGTGATATATATCAAACAAAATGGTTTGGAATGCCTTTTCAACATTATATGCTTCCAATGCTGAAGTCTCTAGAAAGGAAAGACCTTCCTTTTCAGCCAAACTTTGAGCATCTTCAGTTGAGACTGCTCTCAGATGATTAAGGTCAGATTTGTTTCCAGCCATCATAATAACAATGTTGGAGTCTGCATGGTCCCTTAGTTCACGCAGCCACCTTTGCACATTGTCAAATGTTTGCCTTTTGGTTATGTCATAGACCAACAAGGCACCAACAGCTCCTCTATAGTAGGCACTAGTGATAGCTCTATACCTCTCTTGCCCTGCCGTGTCCCATATTTGTGCCTTCACAGTCTTCCCCTCCACCTGCAGGAATTAACCCTTCATTCAGGTGACAACAATACAAATACTAGATACCAAGTTTGTCTACCAGCTCAAAATTGTTTTTATTTATCTCTCTAAAAAGAAAAAAAATAAATTTGTTCCTAAATATTTGTCTAAGTAGAAGTTTAAGATAATATTAATTATTATTATTTTTCTATTAATATTATTTTATTCGTATAAACATTTATATTATTTGAATAATTTAAAAGTCTACAAAAGTTTATAAGTATAGATTAATTTAAGCTGAAAAATTAATTTTAACAAAATAAATTCATTGATCTGAAGAAGGTAGTATTTAGCAATGAAAATTCAATTATTTCGTTCTCTTCCAATTAGCAAATCATCAAACATGCAAGAGAAATCATTAAAAGAGGTGTTGCTTGCTTCATCTCTTGACATTGTGCTGATCTAACTTTTCTCTCCCCTCAAAGTGCATGCATATTACTCTTGTCAAGTAGGAATAATTTCATTTCTATTGTCGCAAAAAGAATACTTTTAAACATACGACTAGTTGCATGTTCATTATGGATAAAACTTCAACTTGGACTGCAATTTACACCGACTCAAATTGAGATGATTTGATCGTCACACATGCACGAGCATGTTCTGACATTCTTTACAGATGATAACTTTATCAAGTTTTGTCGTGTCTCTTCGTGGGATGTGGGACGAACTCCTCCACCTGGCAAATATGGTACCGTGTATACTAAACGACAAATTCACTAACGTCCTACATAAAAAGAACACCTCCCTTTTGAGCCATCTCATGACGAAGAACCACTGTTATCAACACCCAAAGCACTTTGTACCGGAAGCGTTTGCTATCTCGACTCAACCGGTGCTTCATATTCCTTGGGAGAAAATCTTACATACTATTATTACTTACACTAATCGATCTCCTAACATCTTGAAAGACGTGTAATTATTCCGTCTATTGTGATTTTGTTGATGACATGTTGTGCTTTGTATTATGATTTTACTGGATTAGTGCAGTAACTTGAAAATATATAAGAATTTCTCATCTAATAGACTTTCAAAATATTCATTCTGACACTAAATTCCCCCATTTTTTTAGCGTATTTAGTTCTGCTCGGATAAAGCATCCCTGCTCTCGGAATATACCAATCCATTTTTTTCTTTCTGGTGAGAGTGAGAATCAATCTAATTAAAGCATAACAAACTCAATAAAATATAAACCATTAAGTGCATCACTATAAAATTACATAATGATTTTCCATTCTAGATAGGAACCATTCCTTCATAAAAGTTTTCCGGAGTCAATCAACTAGTGTCCAAACCAACCAAAAGAGCAATTACCACCAATCGAAAACAAAAATTACAGACCCTTCAACCCCAATATAGAGATTAACAGAAGCATGGCTGAGATTTCACGAAATTTCAAATAAAAGTAAAGATCGTGTAAAATTTCAATGGCAACACATCTAATTAAAAATTATTGACTTTTATAATATTTTTTAAAAAATAAAAATTATTGTAATTTTTAATTAATTGACATTACAGAAATATTTACATTGATAATAATATCTGAAAATGAAAGTAGTAATATAAACAAACCTGCAAAGTTCTGGTGGCAAATTCAACCCCAATGGTAGACTTGGACTCTAAGCAAAACTCATTACGCGTAAATCTGGAAAGAATATTGGATTTTCCAACCCCAGAGTCGCCAATCAAAACGACCTTGAAGAGATAGTCGTATTCATGGTCTACCTTGTACGCCATGCAAAATGATAGAACGGGGTGGCGGGGAAGGAAATATGGTTAGAGGGATTGAAGAATGAAAATGAGTGTTTGCAGAGGAGTGAAGGAACAAGGAAAGAGAAAGAGAAAGCGAAAGAGAAAGAGAAGAAAGGGCATATTGCAAGGCCAACAATGAGTGAGCAGAAACGGAATAAACGGACGAGAAGGCACTTTGAACGGACTTTCATGTGGGAATCGAACGCCCGCGATAATCGGAACTGCGTTTTTGTTTTTATTATTATTAATATTAATATTCCTTTTTACAATTACTTGATTCAGTGCAATACCGCCACATTTCTTATTACATTAAAGGCTTATGTTTTTCTTTCCAAATACCTCACCACACTTAAGAATGATGTTATAATACTTTAAATAAACAAATTTACATTATACAGCGTGCTGGTTGAAAATAGATAGTTTCACAAAAAATAAAACACAAAAAACAATTAGATATATATTATAAGGGTTGAGATGGTTGATTTTACATTTTTTTTTATGTGACCATAATCAACTTAAGTCGATCACAAACGAGTTAGTTTAAGTTGAGTAATTAAGTCTATGTATAAAAATAAAATAATTATAATGTATAAAATTTAATAATTATTAAATTAAAATAATCTATCTATTTATATAAAAAAAATTATTTCATGTTTAAATTTATTACAAATTATATTGGAAAGCACATATGAAAATATTGAAATATAAATGTTATAAAATATTTTAACTTTTGTGTATGTAATTGGGTTGAGTGAGATTTGTTATGTTGCAGAAAGGCAGATTCAATATTTGATCCGTAATTAATCAAAATTGCATATTTAAGACCTGATTACTTAACCCATTAGTTTTTGTTTGGATCGAGTCGAGTTGGTGGAATTGTTAAGGTTTACCAACCGATGAACACCCGTAGTTATATTTTTGTTCCAAAGTTGGATAGGGATCTGAGCCCCAACCAATTGATGAATGGTCATATATATGAGCCCAAGGGGTAAATTCTTCCTAGAGAGAGGCCCAAAATGATTTCTATAGTCAACCCCTGTCATGACCCAAAAATATGTCAATGATAAGCAGGGATATTTAGAACAACACATTTTCAGAATAACAAGAAAGAGAGGAATATAAAGTTAATAAAACAAAGGTAATAAAATTTTAGGTTTTTTTTAAAAAAATATTATTTTAATTTTATTTGTGATGATAAAAAATAGTTTAAAAATAGAAAATATTTTTTTTTATGCATTAGAATATTCAAGATATAGATGAGAAAACTACATTGAATTATCTTTCAACGGTAGTCAAGACGAAAATGGGAGAGAAGGGATCAATTCCCATCCTCCCCGTGCCATTGTAAAACTTTTTATTATTATTTTTATTTACGAGTAATTTTCTAATTAGCTACATAAATGTTCTTTCCAGAAAATATAACTCTTAATTATTTTTCTTTACCTTCTTCCACATTATCTTTTTATACCAATCAACTTATTATTTTGTTTACTTTTTTATATATTATTTCTTTTAACACTCTCTTTTCTCATACCAGACAAAGAGTTGATGCTACCATCAGATTTTTAATAAATTTTTTATTTTTCAATTTTTAAATCTATCAACAGGATGAAAGTTTTAAAAAAAGGGCAACTGAGAAGGCTTTGGTATTTGCTAGAATCCGTTGTTGAGTGAGAGAGTTATTCTCAATAATAAGCACTTTTTGGAACAAGGCTTCATTCTTCTTAAGGAAAATTTCAAATTTTATGTGGAAGTATTGTGGATAAAAAAAACTTCGCTCACTCAAATCTCAGTGCAACTAAAATTATACCCAGATTCTTACACAAAAAATAATAATAAGATTATCCAAATACTTTTATTTTTTAAGTGAAATTTGAAAAATAATAATAATGATTTTCAATTAACAAAGTATAATTAACCGTGAGTTGTTAATAATTTTATATGTAAAATAAATAACAAAGATTAATTAATAAAAAATTAAGAATTGCTATAACAAGAACTAATAGACTTAGTGCAAAAAGGATAAAATTAACATTAACAATCCATGTTATTTTGGGTTTTATCAAGTTTTGAAAGAGAAATATTTTGAGTAATAATACGTTAATGAAAAGTAAATTAATAAAAAAACATTATTATTTCTTCTCTTCATTCACTTTTTTCTTCTCAATCTTTAGCAACTCTTTTCCTTTCATCTTTTTTTTTTCTCTTAACCTTCATTCCCATTCATATTTGTTGTCGCTATCTTAGTGAGAACTCTAAAACTAGTTGGGTAAGATTCAAATCCGTTGATGTTGTTCTCACTTTTTTCATAAGTTCTCTAATACTGAAAAATCCTAAATTTATTATTTTTAATATCATAAATTTTGAAAGAATATAATTTTTAAAATAGAATTTAAATTTATACAAATTATATGTTTATTTCATATAATTTTTAGAGATCTTTCCAATCTAAACATAAGTATGGACAGACACTTCTGCTAAAATTTTAAAATTTTCTAATTTTTTAATGTTTTTTTATATTATTCTATGTAAAGAATTCTGCATTTTGCAAATCTTTAATATTGTGAATCATAATTTGTAATCACAGAAAGAAATAAAAAATGATAGTGCTATGTAGAGTAAATAAACTCATGTAGTATAAATAAGATAAAAATAAAAAAATAAAAGAAAGGGAAATAAGAAGATAAGCATTAATTAAATTATCATTATGTCATTTGATAAATTTAATTTGTATCACATGTTTCTTGTCCTGTATTTTTAACTATTTGATCTTAATTAACGATTTAGAATGTTTGCAAATTTTTTAAAAACTATTTTTATCTTACCTTTCTAAATCTAAATTTAAAGAAGAGGTTAGAATCAACTTTATTTATGCGCATACTGCTAAATAATGTGAGGTTCAACTAAGATATTTTTCTAAGAAACCCATAGCTTATCTTCTGTCTTTTTTATGCAATTGTGAGTAATGTCAATTTAGGTACTGCTGGCTAAGTACACAGCCAAATGGTTCACGCTTTTGAGTAAGCTTTTGGCAACTTAAATCAATCACGTTTTGCTTTTGATTACAGGAACTATACCTTCTGTCTTTTGCATAGATTTCTTAAGATGAATAAAATAAATTTGTTTGTTCTGCTACCCATTTTGTTTCTACATTTTCTTCTCATGCTCCTTCACTTTAACAGCAAATGTCACCAACCAACTAGCCATGTGAATTTGTATAGCCATGCATTTATAGTATAGAAAACGGAGGTCTTCCATAGACTGTACCTTGGAGTCATGAGGGAACATTCCAAACATCTATCAATAAATTGTATTGAATTATTCTAGTTCTCTTTATTCCACGACCTACACCACCCAATTGGAACCAAGTTGTGCAAAATGGACCAGACATATGCATCACGCTGCTTCATTTTAATTTCAATCTTCTACACCCCTAAAAACAATCCCCCCCAACCCCAATCATCAAGCCCAGAAAGTGCTTCCCAGCTCACCCTTGGCAGCTGTCACTTTCACTTTAATGAATTTCTTTCTTTAAAAGTAGTAATAAATTTATCAGATTAAAAATATAAAAATGTATTCATATTTTTTTAATAAAATTTTACTATTATTACTTATTTAAACTTAATCATAAAGTTAAAGTACGTTAACAATCTAGTTTTTATTTATTAGAGATACAAAAGTATAATAAATATTTTAACTTTAATAAAATATTACTACTTTTAAATAATTAAACTTAACATTAACAGGTAAGATTAATAAAATTATATTTTATATAGTTTTTCTATGTCATTTATAGCCTTTAAGGAGAACAAACAAATTGCTCCCATAAATTTGAAGCCCTATAGCACAGTTGTTGATGCAACTTGCCAGCAAAAGAGAGTTTCCATAGAGTGATGAAATTATCGTACGTAGCACATGTTCTGAACAAATTTTAAAGGGAGTTTTCCACGCCTACATTTTGGGTGACAATGTTTTCCTTATCAAAATCAATCAATCTATAAACTGCACCCTCAAATTTATCCTAACCTATTAAGTTTGGAATAATATCTGGCTTCAGATATCAAGTGCATGTGATTGCACGTCTAATATGATTCTCTGGGCTGAAATGATCTAGAAATTAAGCTGTTTGGATGTAGCTGCAGGTTAATTGATTTGCCTACTGTGTTAATAATGCAACTGTAGGTTTTGTTTGTACTATTTGCAGGTTAGGAATTACTACTAGTTATTCAGCTTCATAGATTCTTTTTGGAGATATATATTTGTACAATTAAGCTCCTCATAGGAATACTTTTAAGAATAACTACAAAGAAGTACTCATAATTCCAGGGAAGTCATTGCCCGATTCCCACACATAAGATCATCTTCCTAGAATCAATTAGTGTCCAAGTAAGTTTAATAGCGAAAATCCAAAATAATTATCTTCTTTTGACGTGGTGATACGTGCTTTGAAATAAAGGAAAAAAAATGTAAAAATGTGTTTTAACCTCCAAATTCTGTTTGTTGTGGTACAACTAGCTCTTGTTTATTTAACAAAGAGATAAGATCATGTGCTTTTGTAGCAAAAGGGATATCAAATTGAGAAAGTATGTGTCACATAGTTGGCCAAGTACGCAATTTTAAGATTTCGTGAAAATTGTTTTGAATTTTGGTTATAAATATTAATAAATTTTTGAAAATATTTTACTCATTTAAGGTTTAGAAATAAATAAATAAATATTAAATAATTTAAGATTAAAGGACCCATAAAAATAGAGTAGCTGAGATTAGTAATGAAAATATAAATTTAAAATAATTAACTTGAGAAGAAAAATAAAGAAATTTTAAAATACGTATACCAATAATATGAGTGGCTAAAATTTAAGATAAAAGTTATAGCAAAAAAAAAAATTACGATAAAAGCTAGCTTCAAAAATAAATTTAAAAGGAATTAATAACTTAAAAATAAAAAATATGCTAAACAATGATGAATTCATTTGTTATGAAAA